TACATATACATATACATATACATATACATATACATATACATATACATATACATATACATATACATATACATCTCTCTCTCACTCACTCACTCACTGTGTGTGTGTGTGTGTGTATGTGTGTGTATTTATAGTGTAAGAGTAGATCAAAGCAGAGATAGTCAGTTGTTGAAGGAATATGTGACAAGAACCTGTGTTGAAAATGACTTTCTAAATAAATGTGTATTCATATTATTTCTTATAACAACTTTTCCCTTGGTCCTTATCACTTTCTAAGGATCTCCAGCATTGTATTTCCAATTCTGTCAAAATATCCTCTAAATGTGTGGAACTACGTGTACATCATCATCTTCTTGTATATATTAATGTACAAAATTAATCAGGTGAAGAAACATGTTAAATTCCAAATCAATTGTTTCAAACTAAGCAGAAATAGTGAAATGTCTTTTGCCTTTGCTAATTAGGCATTGTAAAGGGAATTGAAAATGAAGTATTACGTTGGATATATTATTTGTCATTTTGTTCTTCTCCATAGGTTTCAGTGAAACAATAATTTTGGGGAGAGTAAAATTTAATTATTTACCTTTATGGACAATGTTGCAATCATCTTCAAGGAAGAAGTTTGCAATTTGGAAGCGTTCCTGGACCTGGCTTTGCTCCCAGTTTTTCAGATGGAAGTTGTGCCAGCTGAGTTTTAACTCAGCTTAGCTTGGTGCCTCAACTATGCCTTTGTCTAGAAATGATGATCTTGGACAGATATACTTACATATGCCTCAATGTTTATGCTGTATGATTACTACATATATGTTTTGTTTGCAGCAATGAACTGAATATGAATCTGCTTTTGAAAAAAAATATTCATGAGCTTTCAGTTGGTCCAAATGTAGAGAACTAATCTTAGCATGCTTCCATGCTTTCCCAACTGTAATTTTGCAGAGCCAATAAAAAAATGTACCCAAGGAACTGAGACTATGGCCCTGTGCATAAGGGGCTGTCTAACTATAGCACATGTCCTGTTACTATGTGTTCTTCATACTCAAGGATACTCCTCATCACTTCATACTTTATAAAAAATAACTTGGAAAATTCTGAACTTTTTAATGTGCAGTTGTTGTCATCAGATCAGTATGATTCAGTCTCGTTGAATTTAGCTACAATTTGTTATTTGTACTGCTTATAATATTAGGCACACTTTGATTATACATTGACAAACCCGCTGTTGCTGCTGTTTCTTCTTCTTCTTCTTCTTCTTCTTCTTCTTCTCCTCCTCCTCCTCCTCCTCCTCCTCCTCC